GTCGTTGCCTTTGACTATTCTCTATACTTATAGATTTATTAAAATTCAATGATATTTATGTAAACTCCTTTTTGGATATGCCTGAAATTAATTTATAGGGCTAAGGACTAAAAGCTAATGTGACTTTGATTTAAGGTTTATGGGCTGATAAGGTGATTAAATCTCATCCCTTCATTCTAGTGGTTGGATGAGGATGAGCGATTAGGATAATTAGCCTCTCATGTGCCATTGATAAAGTGTATCAAAGGTCATGATCCATCCTACACTTAAACACTTTATATAAATACAACCATAAGTCCAATTAAACCTTAACTTTGAGAAACACCTTTCATTAACTAAAAAGTAAGAAGAGAGATCTACCCCCTTGGCCTCTACGCACTATTCATGTCCATCCTTGTTCTTGGTTACCTTGATCATCATAAGATCTTTATTAGTGCTCCCCTCTTTGATAAGGTCAAGTCCATCATGTGCAATCACTAAGGTATCATTTATTTGAGTTTTTCTACTTTATAGCTTCTCTTCTCCAAGATCAAAGGTTGATGTAAATTTACATTTACAGAAGCTTTAACTTTCTTTTTTAATTAGTTTCAAATGATCTTCATTCTAGATTCATATTGTATGATCCCTCGCTGTGATCATGTGTTGTTATATGCCTTGATTGCCATCAATCAAGTCTAGCTTCTTTTATATCCTTTTCACCTGAAATTTCTTGAGCATGTCCTATTATTGATCTTCAAGTCTAGAGCATTTATCCATTTTAAAAGATCATTTATTGATTTAAAGTTCCTCTTTTGACATTTGGGAAAAGTATTGGTAGACCGATGGACCACACCATGTGCTCATATTTGCCTCATCTTGAACCCGATCTAGCTCATTCTTTTTGCAAACCGATTTCCATCATATTGCTCACATTAGTTAGACTTTATGAAGTGTCTCTAAAAGTTAGGGTTTAATTGGACTTATGGTTGCATTTATATAAAGCGTTTAAGTGTAGGATGGATCATGTCCTTTGATTCATTTTATCAGTGGCACATGAGAGGTTAATTATTCTAGTCACTCATCCCCATCCAATCACTAGGATGAAAGGATGTGATTTAATTACTTTATCACATCATAAACCCTGAATCAAAGCCACATTACTTTTTAGTCCTTAGCCCTATAGATTAATTCCAAGCATATCCAGAAAGGGATTTACATAAAGACCTTTGAATTGTAATAAATCTATTAGTGTAGAGAATGGTCAAGGCCAATGACATTTTGATAAAAAGCATCAATCACATGAGAAAGGTAAATTGGGCTTATAACACCACCAATAGAATTAGCTCAAACCACACCCTTGACATGCATCTTATACCCTTCACATGGGTCACACCAATGGGGCACGTCCACATGCCATATGTCCCATGTGGATATTAATTTTAAAAATATTATTTTAATTTCAAATTTGCTTTGGCTTTACAAAAGCCAAGCACGTCACATGTGTGACAATTAAGCATGTAATTAAAATCCAACTTTAAGTTATAACAATAAATAATAATATAACATAAGATTTGAAATAAAAATCAGTGACTAAGTACCATAAGGGTCCCCCACAGATGGGAATCTTGGCCCAAACAAGGGGGGGCTAACTTGAGGGGTCCATGGTGCCACGGGGCCACCCTATGGCCACTCAGGTGCTACGTGGCATCCATATGGACGTCCTCACATAGAATTTAGCCCAAACAATTTTGAAAATCACATTTTTGGTGATTTAAAAAATTCAAAAAATTCTTCAAAAATCCTAATAAATATTTAAAATATATTTGAACATTTATACAAAATTTCTCATCAAAACAAAATTGGACCAAAGGTATGTGAGATCTCAAGGCTTTGATTCTAAGTATCAGAGTATTCCTTTGCTCTAATCGCAAATGATGTCCCGCCGTGTCTCAAACTGACTTAATGGATCTATGCTCCACAGTCTATGACATTGGACACATCAAAGTCATTGAGGCAGAGCTACCTTTCATTGGGTTCTCAATGGATTACAGGTGCACCATTGTGGGACATATTACTACTTAAATACACGGATACTCTCAAAACACATGTGCACTGGTTCTTCTAAGTTGGATAAAACTTTAGAAGATTGGCTTCCTTTGCGAATGGTAGCGCTCATTCCATAGAATGGTCTCGTGTCAGGTTATGGACTCATGTCCCATGAGTATTGACTTTCCCATACAGGGTCAACTCTCAACAAACACTCGGGTTCTATTCTACTTGATTGGATTCTCCAATCCATGACCAATCACAACAAATCACGGGGCATTCTAATTGAAATTCCTGACTAGAAGGTGACCCTCACACCTCCTTGAGATATTGCTTTCTCAAAACGTAAACTCTCAATGCCCTATGTACTCGGGGTTAGAGAATCTGGGCCCCAGTTCGCAAAGCACCCAGATTCTATCTCTCTCACTCACTCCCACTAAGCGAAAGACTCCTCGCATTAAGGCCTCGCAAGGCCATATTGCCAATAGCTTAAAGAGCTTGTTGTTCTTGTCCCAACAAATAATAGAAGCTCTAAGGGAGTCGATGAGGGTAGTGTTTTAATCTTGCCTTGGAAGATTCTGTAATTTCTCTGTTTCCAAAAGGTCCACAACAGGCTAGACACTGCAGTCCTCCAGAGAAGTATCCATGGTTTAGACCAAGGGGGGTTGACATGCTGCTGGAAAGTATGGGGGATGAATGGGGGCTAACCTACTGCCAACCAAAAAGGTGCAAGATATTTGTCCATAGGGCTTGAGCAAGGGAGCATTGAAGGAAGAGATGAGGATTAGATTCTCCTCGTTGAGACATATAACGCATCTGTTTGGAAGTTTAAAGCCTCTCCGTTGTAGTTGGTCCACCGTTAGGGCTCTTTCCAAGCACGCTATCCATGTGAACCATCTAACTGTAGGTGGGGGGAGGGGGGGGTGCGGTGAGATTAGACTAGGCAAGGCCACAATGGAGGGGGACAGAGAGATGGCTTGGGCTTGTATCACCCTGTAGAAAGATGAGATTGTAAAAATCCCAGAAGGTGTGGGGACCTAGACTAGCAGTGCTTCTTGGCCCTGGCTAGGAAGGAAGAGAGTGGAACAAAGACGAAAGGGCGAGGAAGTCGGCTTCCTCGTGTTCCATCAGTGGTCTTCTGAACCTAGGGCCCCATACTCTGGTACCCCTATGGTGTTGAAGTACTCCGCAATCGTTGCCTCTAGATCCGAGGCCAGGAGGTAAAGGTTATGAAACTTTTTCATCGGGGAGTGGCCTATCCAAAGGTCTGCCAAAACTGGGTCCTATTGCCATTTCTGGCTTTGAAACGAGTGTGAGCCTTGAAGGGAGCAAGGGACCAGTTATTGGCTTTCTAAATCCTAGAGGAATTGTTGAGCCCACCCTCTCGGGGGAGCCAAGCAGAGTCGGGGATACGATATTTTGATAAAAGCACCTCTCTCCAAAGTTGGTTGTGGTGGGTGGCTAAGCGCCACCACCATTTACCTAGAAGAGTCAAATTGCAGACCTTGAGACTATGGATGCCCAAGCCGCCAGCCCAAAGAGCTCTACTGACTTTGTCCTAGGAGATGAGGTGGAACTTTCGACATTCCTCTCTGGACCAAAGGAATTGTTTCATGAGTTGTTCTAAACGGGCATGGACTGATGCAGGCATAAGGAAAAGGGACATTTGGAAGACTGAAATATTTGATAGGGTTGCCTCATCGAATAGGACACGTAGTAATCAGACCAATCTATCAGTTTTTATTAGAACAAGAGTGCCTGAACCCATTCTCCCTTCAAAAGAAAACCTTGTGTGGTTTCTTGGTTCATCTCGTCTTGTGGAAGAATTAGAAATGGATTCTCGTTATGAAAAAAATCTAGAAAGGGATTATTATTTCCTGAAAGCGAAGTATAGAGCATTGGATTCCAGGCCTTGACAGAGAGTATGGATCAGAGCACTGTGGAATCAATTGGTGTCAGCGTTCAATTTAACATTATTTATGCCACTCTATGGTGATGAAATGAATGCTATGCTTCTGATGTTAAAATTAACGTTTGATGATACCATGAAATGCTTAGAGGCTGATACATATTTAGAAACAGGTTTTAGGAGGGATATCTTTCTTTTTCTTGCGGGCTGACACATTAATCTGAAGAGAGTGTTGGTTCACTACTGAAAATAATATCACAACAAAAAAGTACTTTTAATAGCATTGTTAAAATTTTGTCCATCAAAGAAAGGAAAATGTTGGTAGGACACAAATCTAAACCACACTCAAATTTCAAGCATAGCTTATAGATATGAAGACTCTGAACTACGAAGTCCAATGCTCGCAAACTCCTATAATGCATCAGTAAAATGTTTCTCAAGAATTTGTCATTCATCCCATGCATTTCAAAGTCTTTTTTTTTTCCCTCTTGGTTTGTCAATGTTGAGATTGTGCATGGTACATGATGTGCATGATCGTATTATATTCATTCAATAGTTAGAAAAGAATATTACAATATCCCTAATGAAGGTAAGTTTAGGTGATCATGTTAGAAATTTAGATCTGATTTTAAATTTGGTATCTGAATGTGTTATTAGCAGTTGTGATATTAAGAGTACTGTTATTTATCTAGATATCAAATTTACTTGTATCCCCTTGTGTTTATGATGAGGAACATGAGAGATCACCATACTAAGGGACTAATGATAATGTTGATTGGGGAAAAGAAACAGCACATTTGGTAGGCCATCCATTCTGTTGTGAAGATCTATATGTAATTTCTAGTTTCCACCTTTATACTCGTCATTCCTCTTCTGTTTTTATCTTTAACAGGAGGCTTCTATTTTACCAAGAAATAGAATCGCAACATATGCAACCTTAATATGCACAGCAGAAACCTATTAGTTGTTACGTGCTTGCTCTTCTCTTGTTTATTCATCCCATTTGCATTTATTTGTTGTGTAGTTCGGGCCACACTGGTGGACTGATTCATTTTTGTCCTTTCAGGATCTTTTAAGAATTCTGACATTATTGACCAGCGAACAAAGAAAGAAAACCTTGGTGATAAACAAGTAAGTTCATTCTGTTTACCCCTTATTCGATTCCGTAACATGTACCAGTAACATCATTGATACAGAGCCTAGGCTTGGTTTATTATTGCAGATTCTTTTGTCAAATTATCTTTTGCAGATTCGTTTGTCAAATTATCTTTGGTATATGACATTTGGCTTTGAAGCAATTTCATTTTTCTCTGAGTTTCTCTCTTTTGTGTCTGTATTTGTGAATCATTTTTGTCATTGAGATGTTTTTAGAGTTGCTTTTCATTTATAACTATATATCCTTATATGTATATCATGTTTATGAAGTTTTGTGCAAATCTGTCTTGTTTCGTGTGCAGAATGTCAACAAAAAGAGGCCATGTGATTCTGCCACTATTGAACCAAAAGAGAAAGGCAATAGTAAGGATGCATCACCACCTTCATCATTACATGACAAGGGAGAGACTAGGCAAGATAATGAAATGGACAGCAAAAATTCAAAGAGAAAAAAGAAGAGAGTTGTTGACCATAGATTTGATGCCACTGCTAAAGATCTGCTTATGATTGGCTCAAAGAGGCGAGAGCGTAGGAAAAAGTAAATATTCCAGGAGAGCTTTTCTTATAATTCTTGGCTCATTTAACTTTGCCACAGTATTGTCTTGAGCTTCTAGAATAAAGATTCTTTTAACTTTTCCTTGTTTTTCACTGTACGGCATTTTAATAATGCATTCAGGTACTTGGAAGAAAAGAATAAGAAACTCATAAAGACCAAGATCAGTGAAGAATTGGACTTCCCCAAGCATGAAGAGATCAAGTTTGGGGAAGTTGTTGAAGCCCCTCCTAAATTAAACTTTCCAAAAAAACTTTTGGTGAGTCTGTTATAATATTATTTCTTGCGAGGTAATGTTGCAACCCATCAGGGTCATCGCTGTCCAAAATGAAATGGTTTATGATGGTGAGAGAGTGGGATCCATCAGAGAGGGCATGGTCCGTATGATGGGGCCTTTTCTCTCTTCCTCAGTTCTCACCATTTTTAATGATGAATCAATAGTGCCTTTTCTCTCTTCCCCAGTTCTCACCATTTTAATGATGAATCAATAGTGTGGATCAATGTTTTGAAAAATGGAATTGGGTGCCAACTCGGGCACTGGTTATCCAAGTTGGATTGCTGATTTTCAAGTCGGCTTGCCGATCATGGCACTAAAGAATCTCCTGGTGAGTAAAAGAACAAAATCATGAAAACGACATATACAGAAAATACCCTTGGACATGGGAATTGCCCAAGTTCCAACAGTGAACCAGGCAGTTCACCATAGCGAATTGCCAAGTTCCGGACAACCTGGGGTGATTCCCCGGTTGGGGGTCATGCAGAACTGGGACCTTTGGGTCCAAGCTGATTTTTGAAGCATGGGTGAATTATAGTAGACTTTCCCTTAGTTATTTACCATTTTCTTGGTGTCTAATGCCCTATTTTGTCAACTGAGTATGAAGCTCAACTGTTTTGCTTTTTGAAGGTGACGAAGACACCCCAAGATGTTTCAAGGGAGAGAATTCGACTTCAGACTGTTGAGTCATATAGGAATAGGAAAGGATGGTCCTCAAGGCCTGGAACCCATATCCCACCCATGCCTACTATGATTAGTCCATCTTAAGGTGAGTCATTCTCATGCATCTTATATATTAGCAAAGTTATTTTTCTTCATAGAATGGATGTGCATTGTGTGGCCTATTTGGCCGCATTAGTGTTTTCTTTTATGGAATCATGATTTACCTAATCACATGCAATTTGTGAGGAAAACCTGCTCATTCATGTCCAACTGGCCATCCATATGTTATTACACCATGTGCAGATCACACACACTATGTTGGAACAGAGAGAGAGAGAGAGAGCAAGAGAGAGAGAGAGTTTGATGAATCCGCCATAGGTCATACAGGAATATTACACTACTGGGACACAATAAACACTAATTGGCAGCTCATAATGTGTACATGTGACAAAAGATTATCTAGAAAAGGCCAGGAGATGGAGGCCTTGATCTATGTGCAGAGTGAACATGGTTCTGTACTTGGCCTCCTTACTCTCGTCCTTCAATCTGAACTTGAAGAAATGCACAAGAAAAGCCGATACGATCTTCATTTGATGATATGCAAACTCCTTTCCCAGGCAAATCGGAGGGCCAGCCTACACAACGATGGGAATAATACTAATAATAACAATAATAATACCAGGAATGATGAAAATATGAGGATAATGGTAGTTGTGTAACAAGAAGCCCAAATCATGGAAACACTGGTTCCTTCCTTGAAAGTGTTGTTAGAACTGCCTTCAACAACGAATATCTTGTAGTATGAGTATAGTGTTGGGTATTCAAACTCGACATCCATGATTCATACTTGTCCATGAGGAATGGGAGATGTGTTGTTTCCAACTTCTAAGGCCAAAATTGTTTAAAGTGGCATGATTCATACTTATCCATGAGGGGAGATGAGTTGTTTCTTACTTCTAGGGCCAAACTTGTTTAAAGTGGTGCAGTTCTCCTCCACGTCCTGTGATAAATATGGGTGGCAGATGTTGTGCATGAGTACCCAATAATATACATGTATAACGTATAAAGTCTTGTATGTCAGTGGTGTGAATTTGATTCGTTTAAGTTTCACCTTAAGAGTTAGCCATCAATATAATATTTCCCCTTTTTCTTTCTGTTCATCCAAATCATTTTTGTGATATTTTGTGTTTTACCTGGAAGGCAGTAAATTTGAATGGTGACTCTGGCTGGAAAACCCCACTTTTGAGCCCCCTTTCAGGCCGGAAATCCTCAGCATCTTCGCCCCATATATATGTCATCCTCCCCATTGCATAGGGCAGATAATTAATCCCATCACCTTTCTCAGTCTATGGCCGTCTGGTAGAACATCATCTGCTACACGGTTATTGTTTCGGCTAATTTGCAGGCATTTTGGCGAAATACACCAGTGCTAAAGACCCTTAAACACTTTGGTGGAGAACTCATAGCTAACGAGCTTTCTTTGATGCTGCCATTTGTCACCATCGACGGCGAAGATCCCATCTCCGAAGAGATCGTACGCTATGTTGTAGCTGTATTGTCCCTGATATTTTAGTGATCAAAAGCACTCATTTTGAGTTTAAATGAGTTCAGAGCTCAAGTATTGGTATACAATGTCGAGAGGTTCAAAGATTTCTGTTAATAAAGGTGCTGTTAAGGAAACAGTTACCCATCAACTGTTTTATTCAGTAAGTTAAGGAAAATTGGTTGAGAGAGAGATAGAGACAAAGGGGGAGAAAAGCTTTTCTAGAATGGTGGTTTATGTTCTAACCGGTTTTCGAAAAATCGAACCGGCCAAAGGCTGATTCTGAGTAACCAATTCATCTGGGTTTAACAGGCCTAACCGGGCATGTCCCGTCAGGTCCAAAAAGTGATAAAAAATATAAAATAATATAAAAAATGTAAAGTGTATATATAGCATGATTAGACAAAACATGTCCAAATTAAGTTGAAATTTGGTGAAAAGAATGGATTTTAAATAATTGATTTATGCTCAAAGGTATTTTTGAAACTTTAAAAAATATGAGAAAAATATAAAAATAGGTATTCATGCCAAAACACTTTTCAATATTTGCCAAAATGATTAAAAAAAAAAAAAAAACATTATAAACAAATTCCTTATTTTTTCAAGTTTTATAAAAATGACTTTATATACCTGGTAGACTGCCAAAACGGGATCCGCCAATACCCAATTCCAATTTGATTAGGCGGTTCCGAGTTGGACCGGTCGAGTTTGTGAATACTTCTTCTAATTTCTAGTACGTAGATTTTGGAGAATACAGGGCTCCAACTTCTACTCAGGTTGAGAGAGAAAAAGAGAGAAAGAGAGAGAGAGAAAAGGGTGAATGTATTCCAATCACCTTGCCATGGTTAGGGAAGTTTGTTTTGAGTATGTACTCCACATTGACTGGCTCGTAAAGCTCACTGTGAGATACAGCCAAGAGCCTTTAGGTCTTATGGGTTCGACACAGTTGGGCCTGGTAATCATATAGCCTCTTTAGATACAAGAATTGGTGAAATACTGTTCCCATAACTGGAGGGTGCATCTTGCTGCTCCATATTGATTTCCCTGTGTATATTCTCAATACAAAGAGAGCTACAACTAGGGTTAATGCGGTTGCACCCCCCACAAAGATATCAAAGAGAGTGAACGCCATTGGATCAACAAACCTAGAGAGAGAAAGAACAATTCTAGAGAGAGAACCTTCAGACCAGGTATGATTCCTCTCTCTCAACTTCCTATATGGAGTAGCTTGTCTTATAGGAGGAGAGCATGTCTAGATGAAAGGGAACTTTTTCTTTCTTTTGCTAAATATGTGGCACATTATTCTTGGGTTGTTCTGCAGCTTTGTTTTATTGGGTGTGGTTTGTATAAGGTTGAGGTCTTAAACAATGAAAGTATGGTGCACCTTAAAATAGTATTCAAAAATAATGTTTCAGTACCAAAAATCTTTATAACGGCCTGAAAATTTATCTATATCTAATTATAAAATTTGAAGCTTAAAAAATAATGTAGATCAAGTAGATCAATGAACACCTGAAAATCTTGAAAATTGATAGTCTACATAATGCATTACAAGATGCATTATTTTCAAGACTCGAAATTTTTTTCATTTTTTGATGTCCATGGATCTCGAAATCGAGATGATCGGATTTGAGAGTTTTTGAACTTCGAAACAACTTCTATTGTTTTTTTGAGGTGTGCTTTAGTTTGATTGTTTAAGGCCTCAACCTTATACGAATTTTTTCTTTTTCTTTTTTTACTTTGTGAAAATATTTTGTACTCCATCGGAAGCATGATGTAACCTCTTTAACCTGGCCACAATTTAAAAAAAAAAACAAAAAAAAAAACCTTTAATTTGCATGTTATGATGTGTCTGAAAAAATAACATCCTAAAAGTTGGCAAGAATGAATAGATTGGTAGTAAGATTGCAGCATATGGAGATTCTATAGATGGACGCAAAGAGTAGAGAGTTTTTTTTTTTTTTTGATAAATATTAAGGATTTTTATTGATAAGATGCTTTAGAAGCATGAATTTACACTGATATCAAAACATTAGAAATAAAAAGGCAGGGGAGAGAGATTGCAGCTTTGGCCATTCTATCTACTAAATCATTTGCTTCACGAAGAGTGTGGCCAAAAGAGATCCTCCATCTCGAGAGAGCACATGTCTTGAATTTTGATCCAAAGAAAAAAAAAAGGACCAAGGTACCTTTTTCTCTCTCATGCATCATTTGATAACATTAAGTGAATCCCTTTTCATAATAATATCTCCGGCAAAGCCCTTCTCAAAAGCAATAAAAGCAATAAGCAAACCTTGATGGAGGGCCGTCAATGCAACATGATTGGCAGTCATTATACCACAAGGACCAGAGAAAGTGAATAAGATCCACCAGAGCTGTCATATAAACCCCCCACACCTATAGGATTTAGATTCCCAAAAGAACTGCTATCAAAATTAAGTTTGAGACATGCTTTTGGCGGAGCAATCCAAGTCCCTTTAGGGCGAGCCAAGACAATATAAGAGTTTGCTAGGAGTTTTAGATTGACAAAAATGTCAATCCAAAGAACTCCCGGCTCTTCAGGCGTAAATGAGAACCAATCCTAAAGTGTCTATAAAATAGAGTATTTGACCCGCTCATACTTTTGTGAGATCCCATCAAATGTTCTTATGTTACTTTCTAGCCAAATATGCCCGAGGATGGCACTTCTGAAAAGTTTCCAAAGCAAAACACCCTTCTTAGGTAGTCCACCAACAACAAGATGGTTAGCAACGCCAGATACATCTCAGGGGAGCAAAAGGAAGATATCCATAACCTTGAAGGTCCAGCACCAAAGACTGTATGCAAAAGGACAATGAAAAAAAAGATGTGTAAGTAGAGAATTCCTTCAAAACCTATATCAATTTGGTTTGAATTCCTGGTTTTTGTAACAGGGTAGATTGTCATTTGTGCATGTCTACATGGAGGCAAATCGTGAGGTGAATGATCTAGCGAAATAGGGGATCAGTTGTTGTACCTTTGGTGAGAACTTTCAAATTCACTTGGTCTATAATACTTGATGTTGGCAATGAAATTTAGTAATATTTTTAAAAAATGGCTGGATAGACTGCTTTTTTTTTTTGACAATTCGTATCTAAGTGCTTATAATATCCAAATTTATTTTTCCTCTAAAAATATTCATATCTTCATTTGATGATTTTAAGATGGGCCAGAGTTTCTAGATTATTTTTTATTTAAAGTCCAAATAATTTCTCCTCTAAAGATATATATTTTATGATTCCACTATGGACACCTCAAAAAGCCTATTGGAAAAAGTTGTTTGGATGCCAAAAAATCCTTTTAATCATCAAGATGTATGAACGTAAAAGAAAAGATTTCAAGTCATGACAATAATGCATCTTGTAAAGCATCATCTAGACTGTCCATTTTCAAATTTGTTTTGTGTTCTATAAACCTATTCGATCATTTGTTTTGGATTTTTAAATTTTATAATTAGAGATAGCTATCGATTTCATGCGATTGTAAAGTTTTCGGGCCTTGAAACTATATCTTTAAGTAGAGTTTAGAAGCGCGGCTTACTTCAAAAGTATAAGACTGGCTGTCTAAAAGAAAAAATAAATAAAAACGAGCACCTCGTTACAAGCCTCACTCTAATAAAAGAAAGAAAAATTGTTTCCTACAGGCTGGACTGTATTTCCATATATGCAGTCTAAAAAATATAAAGCATCCATCTTAAAGATAGATGCAAGTAGATGTTCTATCTAAAAACAATTTTAAAAACAAACTAACGGTCCAAATATTTTTTTACTAAAAACTATTATTTTTAGTTTTTAAAATTTATTTATTTATTCATATTTACAACCTCCATGTTGGATTGGATTACGTGTCCTTAAAAATTAAATCCTAAAATAATCTCAAAAATAGATTTATTAAGAAGCCTGCATTTTTTGATATGCACGTTTCGCCGCATGGATACCGGGTCCTAAAGAAAAATTTCACAAGAAGCTCATTTGTGGCAGAAAGTAAATAGTGTGCTCGTGCGGGAGTACGCTGCGCGGGGTAATTATTACCGTCACGGAGGGCCGTAAACGATGCGTGATGGGACGACGACGTGGCGTCTTTTTCAGTAAAACCAATCAGAGAGTTCGTAGAAATTAGAATCTTGTTAATGTCGCCAAGGTTAGAGATTGATTTTCTTTTGTTATAGTTCGTTTTTTAGGGAAGATATAAGAAAAAGTATATAATAAGGCCTTTATCTTTGCTATAGGGTAGCCACAATTTATATTGACTTTTAGATGTAAAATTTGATGGCTATATTTATTTTATTAATCAAGCTCAAACTTTTAAAGAAATTTTTTCGAACCTTGCAACACATCTAAAAAATGGAATGGGCAATTTCTTATGTATCTAGAAAATGGAATGGACACTTTTTTATGTATTTAGAAAATGGAATGAACATATATATATATAAATAATAGAATGAACAATTTTATATTTAACAAACCATGAGTATTTCATTGGTCTATAAGATTAAGCAGCAAACCGATCGAAAGTATATATATGGAATGAACAATTTTATTCATTCCATATAATGGATGGAAGGATGTTTGTGAATGGAAACAATAAGAATTATGATTTGCTTGCTACTTTTTAAAAATATGTTCATTGAGGTATTTCTTCAATTATATTGTTAAATAATGCTCAAATCACTCCTGTTCCGGCTTTGTAGCCCTAAAGAAGTGAAGACATTTCAGTAATTTAATTTTCTTCGGCCAATTAAGCTAAATTATCTAAAATATCACGATTTGTTCTAAGTTCCAAACTTAAAATATATTTTTTCTATTGAAAATCTCGTTCTTGGTTTAAAACCTAGAGCAAGCAAGCACATTTTTAGTAAATTAGTCCCACTTATGAGAGCCCAAAGTTGTAACTATTTGTTTGGAACAAGATTTCTTGCCAAAAAAAAAAGCATATACTGAATTTAGATCCCGGAAAAAGCATATACATTTAAGTCGGGACGCACAACTACATTTGTGTCCCCTGAGGCAGCCAACATCCATTTTAAAGATCGATGTGGAGTTGCAGTCTCTCGATCAAATTGAAATATCAACGATTTGAAATTTTTCTTCAAAAAACTATCATGCTTATTTTTAAAAATTTATACCTTCTTACACATTCATGTTCTCCATATTAGAGATTATATACATTAGGTCCAAAATCTATTTAAAAATAGATCATGAAAGGGACGACATCTACATATGAGTCCTAGCACTCATTAACAAAACTGTATACTTTAGATAAAGTAACTTCCATCCAAATTTTAAATGCCCCTCACTAATTATAGTTCCTGACTCTGAAGATGGACAATTTAAACATTTTCACAAAATAATTAAAAAAAATACCTGTAAATTACTTTTAAAAATAAATTTGTCAATCAACTACTAGATCTAACCACCTCACTGATTATTTTTATTTCCAGATAATTTGATTTTTTGATATTGTCCCTTGTATTTATGAAGAAATGGAGGATATGACAACTTTGCCCCAAGCACGACCAGTTTCCAAGTATGCAAAAGCCTCAGGCACACGGTCGAAATCATAAGGGGAGGTGAGATCAATTATGGGCTTGAGCTTTCCACTTAATATATAAGGGTGGAGTCGGGCCAGTCCATCACCTGAGACCACGAGAGAAGAAATGACAGCCCTTGGATTAGAGGGTGGCCATGTGATATCCACCACTGCTCCTTCCTCCTTTGCCACCACATATGATTTGTTGGTGTCACCTGCATTTCAGCATTTCATTGTTAAAGTGTTTTTCCAACTATTTGGGGTCAGCTATTCAAACCATCTATCTGATACGTCATATCTTGAACAATCGCTAAACACCCACACACACTCACTCTCTCAACTTGAATGAACATTTATCGAAAGATCACATTTGTGGCAAAAATTTATACATATAAATATCAATGTACATGCTCTCTCTCTCACACAGTTTCTATCATCCATTTTCTAGTTAGGAATGCAGTTTGTATAAAGTATCAACCTTAGATAATCAAAGTAAGGTGGTCCTCTAGACGGTGCCAAAAGATGTGGTTTTAGTACCAAAAAGTCGTGCGATGGTTTGAAATCTATTTTCACTAGTAATTATATAATTTAAAGCTCAAAAAATGATGTGAATCGAACAGGTAATCTATAACACTTCAAGATGTTGAAAATGAACAATCCAAATAATACGTTACAAAATGCACTATTATTGTAACTTGAGATTTTTTTTTTTTTTTTTTTCATATCCATTAATCTCAAGGCTAAGAAGATTGATTGGAAGGTTTTCTAACATTGGAACAACTTTACGATGGGTTTTGAGGTGCGCCTTACTTCTAAAGCATATCATTGACACCTTATATAAACTTTTTCTTTTATATTATATCCTCAACTATCTCTCCATCTCTGTCTCTACCATTCAATTTTCCTTCAATTAATATCTTGAACAATTTCCCGTCCATTTTTTAGTCAACCAATCAATTTCTCTCTCTCTCTCTCTCCCTCTCTCTACCATCCATTTTTTAGATAATATCTTGAACAATTTCTCTCTAGTAAAAGGAAATAACTCACAAACCACCTACCAATGGTGTCAAAAATGAAATCAAACTTCTCGAGTATTTGATGGTACCCTTGCTGGGTATAATCAACAACAACTTCAGCCCCTAAACTCTTCACAAACTCCACCTTCTTTGTGCTACATGTAGCAGCCACCTTTGATGCCCCAAACACATTATTGGCCAATTGCACAGCTAAACTGCCCACACCACCTGCACCTCCTACTACAAATACTGTTTGCCCTGCCTTGAACTTTGCAGTTTTAAAGCCCTCAACAGCAGTTTGCAGGGCCAAAGGCAAGCTTGCTGCCTCTTCAAATGTGAGATTCGGTGGTTTCATTGCCACTAAACTCTCTTCTACTACTATATATTGGGCTAGGGTTCCTAGTTGCTTCAGCTCTCCATGGAAGTCCTGAATGTTGCCGTAGACCTCATCTCCGATACGAAATTTCGATACTCCGTCTCCCGATCCCACCACCACGCCAGCCATGTCACAACCAGGAACCACCTAGATAGAGAAAATCATGCCACACTTGGGGACAAATAACCCATGTATAACTATACCATAGTGTGTGCTATAACAACTTATACTTTGGCATACAACACAGTGCGGATTATGATATAAAGTATTTTGGACCCCATATTTTGCATACATGTATTTCTAATCCCGGAGATCAGAAAGAAAATTTGTGAGAAAGAATTAGGGGCAAATGAGTCTTGCTATTCTCTGTTAACATAGGCCGTCCATTTAGCCGGTGGTTTCAAACCTTTGAGAACTCAAAATCATTTTACCAAAGACTGTTTATTTTTCAAATTTAAAGACGATATAGAAAATTTCAAATCCAAAAAGACCCCTCTAGCAATCATTTTTAGAGCTCAATAAATGATTGATCACACAATGGCTTGAAACTTACAGGCAAGGGTGTTGGGACAATGGGCCTTTGCCTCATCTTGAAATCAATGGGGTTCAAAGCTGAGGCTTTCACTTGCACTAGAACTTGATCAGACTTTGGAGAAGGCATGGGAAAATCCCCAAATTGTAGTACCTCTTTTGGGCCATATTCTTTGTAGAACCAAGTTTTTTGAGTGCACTTCATTCTTCTCGCTCTGTTTTGTGTTTGGGCATGGCCCTTTCTTATAAGCCCTGGTTCAATCATGAAATTAATTGTTGAAAGAGAAAGCACAACTACTGGTCTTATTTATCTTAGTTGGATGATGTCAGGCACCCTATTTTTGGAATTGGTTAATCTTTTTTGAATTTTTGAACCCTATGGACCACAACAGCCTAGTAAACTCTAGTCGCCTTTTTGAATGGTTCATATTTACTATAGCATTATTGTCTCTGTTAATCATGATTTGAAGTAATAGGATTTACATCAAAGGTTCCTGTTATTCATGATTTGAAATCCAACCTTTGGCATAAAGATTGAAATTGATGTTGATAATTGGTGTTATATAAATTATTTTTTAAAAAATAATATCAATTTTTATAGTAGAAAAAACGAGTGAAAGATTTATGATCATTATTATTCTTCGTTTTAAAGGAAGGAGAAAATATGAGTTGATCATTTATCTTCATCCTATAATCCATATTTGTTTGGACTTTAATGTATAAGTAATAAAATTTATTTATTCTTCATCAACTGGAAATTTAAAATTTCATGCATCAAGTTAAACATGATAATTTTAACATATGTACATGTAAAAGTTCTTAAAATGAGGCTAGTAATCAATAATAAGTCCAGAAAAAAATACAATAAAATTGAATTTTTTTAATTTTGTTCTTATTTTACTTTAAATTATTTTGGTTATTTGTGAGCAGCTAAACAATCCAAATTAAAATTAATTGGTAGAAAAATAAAAAATTGAATTCCAAACATTTCAGTTAGCTATAATATTGGTCTAAGTTTATTTTTTACAAAATTATAGAATTATATATATATATATATATATATATATGCATTATCTTATTTTGCTTTTAGGGAATGTGCCGAACAGCTTTCAAGGATGGTTCAAGAAAATTTAATATTTGAAAATTTTATTTCACATAGTAAACTTTTTTATTTAAGAATTTATTAATCTTCTCACATACACGCACCACACACACATATTGGAAAATAACTTGTATGGACGTTTTGGCCATGTCTATTATTTATGCTGAAGTACTTACACTTGAGATGCATACTTGACACCCGTGTCGGTGACCATTTAACCCTGATAATAAGCGTAGGTTTGTGTCCTAAAAGATTAGGTTTAAATATCAATATTAGGAGAAGACATTTTTTGTCTCAACCACTTCATGCTATTCAACTTTTTTTTTTTTTAACCAAGATTCAACTATTTCATTAATAGACTAAAAAGAAATTACATCATTAGAAACAATATTTCATTAATAGACTAAAAAGAAATTACATCATTAGAAACAGTAAGAGAAGCAAGAGAGACACCCATTTAGCCAAGGCATCCGCAACGTCATTTGCTTCACGTTAAATATGGGAACAGGGGACTAATAGGTTGGCCACCACATCCAAATTTGTAACCATAAAGATCGCAAAATCCCCTTCTATTAGACAAATAGAGCCTAGATTCTTCCCAATTAACATTTTGATACCCCTTAAAAGCCTCGAAAGCTCCGCACAATTTACCGGAGCAACCCCTTAAACAAGACATTTCCAAAGCAATATCTAACAACCCTCAATACCTGTTAGCCCTAGATTCTCCATCGAACTACTATCAAAGTTTAACTTAAAGCTACCAATCGGCGAGGCATACCACAAACTTTTAGCTTATTGGGTTTAAATCCCAGAGAAAAAAAGTTGGATAAATTGATCATAACATCAATGTTAGTTATGTCGTACCCATCCTTATCCACCGATAGAGATGACCAAAGCTTAATTAGATGAATAAACCATCCAACCTATTACTATATGATACGACGGTAATGCATACGACGGTAATGCAGACGGTGGCTGCTTTTCCCTGAACAATTAAACATTAAGGGTGCGTTTGGTTGTGCCGAAAGCGCAATAGAGCATTGAAATCATCACCTTATAGAATATTTCACCATTTGATCAGAAGGGCCAAAACATACGTAGGGCTGGTAAGCAGCTAGCCCTTGGTCACGCCAACCTTGGCCCTGAAAGGGTTGAAGCAGACCCGAGCTAAGTCCAGGGTGAGCCTAAAAAATTTTACAAAAAAAAAAAAATAGTACAATGATGCCAGCCCTGCAGTAACATAGTAGCAGGTAGGACACTCCTCGAGCCATATTTTATGACCCAAGCTCTAGTTTTCCAAGAATTCGGATGGGCATCGAACACTATCGAACCCTCCAAATGAGAAGAAGGAACAAAGGGTAATCACATGCTGAGCACATCTAAGCCGTCCTTTCATGCATAAAGTCTTAAGCTTTTATTAAGTGGGCCCATGTATTTGAAGAGCTCTGTTTTTTTTTTTTTTTGGTAAATCTTCTAAGAGAGAAGAAGGAACAAAGGTTAATCATAGGCTGAGCACATCTAGGCCGTCCATTCGTGCATAAAGTTTCAAGCTTTTATTCAGTGGGGCCCACGTATTAGAGGAGCTCTGTCATTTTATTTTGGATAAATAAGTGGAGATTGCTCATTTTGTTGCTAAACAATGAAAAATATTACAACAAAACATCCCTCTCAAATGGTGCATTTGTTTTGTTTTTGGCCGTTCTTCGTGGCGGTCTACACTTATCTAAAAACTAAAACAAAACTAGAAAAAATTACAAAAAACCTCGAGACTATACTTTCTATGCAATTCACCTCCAACCTAATCTTTTCTCTTATTTTTTTTTTTTTAAAATACACTCCTTATGCAAATACCGCCCGGACCAAATAAAAAATAAAAAATACCTAAACTACCCTTCCTTACTTTTTACCTTACCCATGCTTCTCTGCTCTATCCCATCAAAATAGGGCTTCAGCACTGTATAAGTGTCGTTCGGTAGTAGAACACTGGAGTCATAGGGGCCCGTCACTGTATAGTGCAGCCCGCCAATAAACCTTTTGGAGTCATAGGGCTCTAGCAGTTGCAAAGGCGGTCCGGCAATAAATACTTCTTGAGTTATGAGGCTCTGGCACTGTGTAAGTGCGGTCTGGCAGTTGTAAAGAGCGGTGCAGCAATAGATGTTACTAGATTCCAGGGCTCTAGTGCTATGTAAAGTGCGGTCCGGCAGTATTCAATTTCGATTTGGTAGTTGTCTTAGCGAGGTCCAGCACTTAAGTTTCTGGAATAATGGGTCTGGCAATGCGATGGTGTGCTTCGGCAATGTGTTATTGGCGTCTGAAAGTCAACGTCAAATATGGCCAAAATGACTTTTGTGTATGGGAAGAGCATGGCCAAAATGATTTTTGTGTACGGGAAGAGCATTTCCGTCTAAAAAAATGAACTTTTTTTCTTGAAGGGGTATTTGCATAGAAAGCTTGTTTTAGAGAAAAATATTAAGTCGGTGGTGAGTTGCATAGAAAGCGATGTCTTAGGGTTTTTTTTTTTTTTGTAGTTTTAAAGAAAGATAGAAAATGTAGCTGAAGTGACGTTAATTCTATCCAATTCTATACTTGAAAACCCTAAAAATTCACATCCACCTAGCTCCTTCAACGTATTCTCTTGGGAGCATGTTGTACATTCACTCTGGCAAAATGAACTAAGTGCACCTTTGCTATTTGAGATTCTTGAATTCATTTTAGAGTCACCGATGAGTATTTTGAAGGAAAAAAAATGAAACATGTTTCTTAAAGACTTGCATCGATTTTTTTGTTTTTTTATCGTTAACACTTGTATCTACCTTCTACAAAGCGGATGTTTAGTTTTAAGATGTTATTGGTTTATATAGAGATAAGAATATAAAGAGACCATTTACTTTTAAAATAAACAAATCACCATTATTCTTTTCCATCAGATTTCAAGTCCGGTGGTTTTGAGTAAATCATAGACTAAAATCAAAATTCAAAAAACAATATTGTGTCACCAAGTGGAAGAGCATATATCCCAAAATCTATAATCTTAAAAGGGCTTTTAAGTAGGGTTTTACCGGGTTTATAAATGACCCGTTAGGGCAGGTAATGGGCCAGGCCAACCTTGGCTCGTGTCCCTAGCCCACCCCGGCTTAGGGCCAAAGGGGTTATGGCCTAGGCCCTAGCTCTGTCCAGGCTGGGTAATGCCTAGCCAAGCTGGCCTTGTCATCACCCTAGTGCAGGCCAGGCCCTTAGGCCATATTTTGTGTCGAGGCCAGACCCTCGTGCCACATTTTGTGGCCCAGGCCCTACTTTTTTTATGGACCAACCGGGCCACTCCTCCTATTGCCACGCCTAACTCCCATACGAGCATATAATATTTTGACTTAGTTTTAGTTTTCTTGGGCTGTCTTTTAAAACTATCAAGGACTTTAGTCTTCAAATTCCTTGACTTCTCAGTCAGGCCTTTACAGGTTTTTTCTCTCAAAGATAGTAAGAAATTTTCTCTCAAAGATAGTAAGACCTCAGCTCTCTTTCGATCCCCTAATTTCTCACTTATTACATGTTTGGGATGGATTATCTCTCTCTAGCTCTCTTTCAATCCCTTGATTTCTCACTGATTACATAGTTTGGGATGGATTTTCTCTCTCTAGCTCTCTCTACAATAGCAGGGGCCTTTTCCCTGCTTCTTCTCTTCAAATTATCCACCAAAAAGCTCTTCAATAGCTCCTATCCACCAGCAGTTGGCTCCATTATCAACGAGATCATAAACTACAGAAGGCTTTATGATTACCACACTGATCTTTGCCGAAATTACAGGACTTACAGGCTCCTTTACCCTTGGAGTAGTGAAATTTACACGGCCAACCCCGCGAACATCGAGTACTTCCTCAAAACTAATTTCTCAAACTATGAGAAGGTAAGAGAAAGAAATTGATTTTACATTTATAATCGTCATCCGAGCTTTATTTCAACTATTTGGATTCTTTTATCTTAGGGGAAGTGGAATACATCATTCATTTGGCATTAACTAACTAGCTTCTTTCTAGAATTAGGAGAAGTAAAAAACAATAATTTTGCATGACTGTTGAGATGAGAAAAAACCTCAATTCTCATTATGCTAATAGCACTTTTAATTTTGCATATACGATGAGGTGAGGAAAAGGCCAGATAATCATGATGTTAATAATACGTTTATAAAAGGTTGTAACCTTAAAATGTAAACTTAAGATATATATAAAAAATCCATCATTAAAGATTGTTTTGATGTTAGAAATTTGTCTAATTGATCATCTCGACATTGAGATGTATGAATATGAAAAGAAATACAGATTTCGAGGCCTAAAAATAGTGTAACTTGCAACACAATATTTGGACCATACATTTTCAAGATTTTCAAGTCTTTATGGACCTACTTGATTTGAACTATTTTCGAAGTTTAAGATTTTATAATTAGAGATGGAAGTAGATTTTCAAGCCAATCTTAAAAATAATTTACATAAAAATTATATTTATGATAAAATTTGGAGGTGCGCCTTAATTTAATTGCATAAGGCTGCAACCTCGTACAAACCACACCCTTTATAAAAAGCATTTCTAATGCTGTCCTATTCCCTCAGCTGTATGCTGTTGTGTTGGGCTCTTAACTGTGTCGGATTGGGTGCAGTTCCGGGCTGGGTGTGGGCCATGTGTTGAGGCCCGCAGGCTGGGCCTAGGCAGCCCAACATTTTTGGGGCGGCTCGGGTTAGGACTGACCTTACAGCTTGGTCTAGCGCAGCCTGGGGCAATCCAGGATTGGGCCTCGTTATTATGAGCCAGACCCAAAACTCATTGTTTGGGTCCAAATAATGCCGGGCTTACCTTGCCCAAGATTGAAGGCCTGGCCTGAAACCAACCGATTAACAACCCTGCTTCTGTTTCTTGAATTTTATGGTGTAATATAATATCAATCATAATGGGCCCTATTGATCTCCATTGATAATTGGTGGTCTGGGCACGCTCACAACTGGGATCTGGGTCTATCAGAATTATGGTCGGCTCTAGGGGATCCAGGGTCTTGCGGGCCCTGGTCGGTTGGGATAGTATTACCAAGACACTGCGTTTGAGTTGTGCTTTAAAACAAATATTTTAAATTTTATTTGTTTCTTCTTAAACAAGTATTCTAAAATTCTATGGATTTAAGTTAAGGGATTGTCTACAAATAGACGAGCAACCTTTTGTACAAGAAGGTCACCACTATTCACACTCATTAGATGTCAAATTGGATGGCTTGGGGTAAGTCATGAAGCCCGAAAAAAAAAATTTGGAACTTTGTGTCTAATCAATGACACTCTTACAACCGCCCATTTTGAAATCCATGAGATAAAAATGATTGTGACTTTTTCTTTTTTTCTTTTTTGTAGACAATCCCTTAAGGTAAACATGATAAAACTATTATCATCATCATCGTCAAACATGATGACTCTGTCACATGTGTAATAATTTTCTAAATTAAGCTAGTAGTGAATAATAAATTCAAAAAATGAAGTTTACATATTTAAATTGAACAACATCATACGCATGATTTTTTTCCCTTTGTTTTAATTATTTTAGTTATTTGTGTGTTAAGGCTTGCAACAGATCGAGCTTGGGCCAAGCCGGACCTGGCCCTAGCCCAGCCCTAATCTCCATAGGACCCAGAACTAGCTTGGCCCTAACAATGCCAAAGAGGCGAGGCCTTGGCCCAGGCCCTGCCTATCCCATCTAGGATAGGCTGGGCTGAACTAGGCAAGCCCTCGTGTTGGGCTAGCCCTGCCCTCGGGCAACATTTTGTGGCCAGACTCTAGCTTTTTAGGGCTGGGCTGACCGGCCACCCAGCCCATTGCCACCTGTACGGAGCCACTATCATAAACTATATGTAACTATAAAAATCAAATCAGTATGTTTCTCTTTTGACTACATAAGATAGAAAATAGATTCTTTATGCCTTATCCTATTTTATTTGTCAAGAATATGTGAAATATATTTCAAGGGGGGATCCAAAAAACAAAAATTAATTTTATCGCATATTGTAAATTTCATTGAAAATAATAATAATAATAATAATCCCAATCTTCACACACATACATACACATATTTCGGCATATCGGTACGTTTAAGTTGAAGTTATTGAAATTTCTATGTGAGAGCCATCTTCTATTTTTTTAAGATGCAATAATAAAGCCCTTAATTGTTGTCACCCGTGGATGTCATATTAATAAAAACCACTTAATTCTTTTTGATTTTACTTCTTTCTAGTTTTGCCTGTGTTTGGTTCTCATCAATCCTGACATGTCTTTCTTGATAAAAAAAAATTGTCAGAATTCATTCGTATGTACATGTGCATAGAGAGAGATCGTTATTAACATTTTAGAACTGTGATGAATGTATTGCAGGGGAGGAGCAATTATGAAATAATGAGTGATTTTTTGGGTGATGGGATTTTCACAGTTGATGGGGATAAATGGCGTCAACAAAGGAAGCTAGCTAGCTATGAATTTTCAACAAAGGCCGTTAAGGATTATAGTAGTCATGTGTTTACCAAGAATGCTGCGGCTTTGGCCCACAAAGTTTCAGAAATAGCGGCCCCTAACAAAGTAATCGATATGCAGGTTAGTCTCCATGGTTCGTAATAGTCTCCATAGTCCATATCTAACTGAGAGATTTTGTTGCGAGTTGGTCTCTATTGTCCATAGTAGTCCCCATAGTCTACATCACTTGCATACAACCAAGCAACTAATATGCAAGTTATATGGTTACAAAAAAATTGATATGCAAGTTATATGGCCACTTTGTCTATGGTTTTTGGTACATAACGACCTATCATGGATACGACACTTGTTAGTATTCCTTTTGGTTAAAATACTAGCATTAGAGAACTTTGGTATCACATGTAATCCTACTTCCTTTTTATCTAGAGGGATTATAAGATCTTTCTCTTTTGGTACAAGCGAGTTACAATAACCTTTAGTCAATGCCACACCTCTAATCGCATGGCTTCACATATGGATGTGTCATATCTAAAAAAGCCAAATTTGAAATTAGCATTTCTGACATTCATATCCGTGTTAAACGATAACATAGCTATCAGGGTCTATATAACATAGGTTGTGAGAAATGATATAATGACCAAGAAACAGGAGAAAAACAAAAATCATTTGCAATCTATATGTGCATCGAAAAATCTGAAGTTTAGAAGCTGAACTGATACAATCCCGTTTTTTATAGTCAAATCTAAGTGTCTAGAAATTCAAAATTTTTTTCCTTTTTAGAAACACGCATTTGGCAATCTATATGTGCCTAGAAAAAGTTGAAGTTTAGAAGCTGAATAGATACAATCTGTGTGTTTAGAAACTCAAAATTTATTTCCTTTTAAGAAACACGCATTTGGCCAAGTGGAACTCATAAATGCATTATCGAAAAAAATCGACCAAAGTATCTCTTTTGCCCATGGGAGTAAGTGTATATGGTGCTCCTGCAACATACGTGCTCTATGACATTATTGGCATGGTAAATCATACATGATTTTAATTTATCCACTTGTTCTCTTGAGCTCTTTAGTGAGTTCACTTCAACTCAACACTTTGATGCCTCCCTCGATCAATAAGAGTGATCTCTTAATATTTAGAGAAGGCAAGGTACTTAAAGCTGTTTCTTGTAACGTTTTTGGAGAGATTGGAAGGACCATTGAAAAGAAATTCAGCTTCTCCCATTTCCTAACCTGGAGAATCAATTACTATTTTACCCCATTTTGATTGGGTACATGGAATCCATGAGCATTGGTAAAATTAGCATATTACCCTTGGTAATTTGGCAAATAGGGGTAGCAACGGGTCGGGTCCGGATTGGACCTAGGCCCGAAATGTGTTTGGGTCCAAGATTTGGACCCAGACCCAACCGACCGGGTCCAATTTTTGGACCCATACCCGGATCTGGGTCAGATCCGGGTCCATTGCCACCCCTATTATGGCAAATGGCACTTGTCAATCTAGTGTTTTCTTTTGGCCTTGTATTCTAGTTTATGGTATCCTAATAAATTCCTAACCTATTGAACCAAAGATTCAGAACCTGAGCAATCTGAATGTTGGGGTGATATGAGCTTTTGTAGGAACTATTGATGAAGTCTACATTGGACACCATATTCATAATTGGGTTCGGAGTCGAATTGAGCAGCTTGCTGGGGGCAGAGGAGAATGGTAAAGCATTTGCAGAGGCCTTTAATGAAACCAATGCACTGATATTCTGGCGCTATGTGGACTTTCTTTGGAAGTTTAAAAGGTTCTTCAATGTTGGAGCTGAAGCCAAGTTGAAGAAGAGCATCCAAACAATCGATGAGCTCATTTACAAAGTAATTCACAGCAAAAGGAAGCTCATTTCCACTCAAGACCACTCTGTAAGCATTTCAAAGCTCTTTCTTGATCTCCTAACAAGAAATATCAGATTGGTCTTCTTCTTCTTCTTCTTCTTCGAGTTATTTGGTGTTTTTATTGATATTTTGATGTAAAAGAAGATTACTCTGTGAAGATTTCAGTCTCGTGTTTTCTTTATGATAAGATTATCGGATTGGTTTTTCTTGAGACTCTCATCTTTAGTTTCTCAGGAGAAATAGATTTTTCTTTTTTGTTCCGTTCTTAGATTGGTTTCTTCTCCTTGTTGTTCTGTTTTTTGGGGTCATTGATTTTCTTCCTCTGATGTTTCTCGGTTCTATGAATGCTGCTATCTTGTGATGAGAGAAGAACAAAGCAGACATACTATCAAGGTTCATTGCATTAAGTGAAAAGGAACCTGAGAAAATAACAGACAAGTTCTTAAGAGACATAATCATCAACTTCATGACAGCAGGCAGAGACACCACTGCTGTGACTCTCTCCTGGTTCCTTTCTATGGTTTGTCGTAACCCTCAGGTAGAGGAGAAGATTGTGGAAGAGGTGAGAGAATCGGTGAAGCAAGGGAACGAAGAAGAGAGAGTGGAGACAATTGAAGAGTTTGCAAATAGCCTAACTGATGCAGCAATGGATAAAATGCCGTATCTCCATGCAGCTCTTTCAGAGACTCTGAGATTGTACCCTGCGGTTCCTCTGGTAGGCTCTCTCTCTCTCTCTCTCTCTCTCTCTCTCTTACACACACAATCATACGATGTGACATGTGCTTGCCTTAGGATGGGAAGTGGTGTGTGAGTGATGACACTCTTCCTGATGGCTTCAAACTGCGGAAGGGAGATGGCATTCTTTTCCCAGCCTATGCCATGGGGAGGATGACATACCTCTGGGGAGAGAATGCAGAGGAATTCAGGCCTGAAAGATGGCTGGAAAATGGAGTTTTCAAGCATGAGTCCCCTTTTAAGTTCACAGCTTTTCAGGTAAACATCCCTTCAGTTCAATGTCAAGCATTAGAATATGGCGTCGGCATTGATATTTTGCAAAATAGGAGAACCTACGTTGTTGGCTAGAAGTTGGACTATGTTATGGTTAGCCATTGAAAAAAAAAGAATCAAAATTCGGAATATAGGTCACTGAGATCTCCAAATTTTGGTGAATAATTTTGCCAAAATTGAAAATTTTCTTGAAAATTTGGTGGCCTGAATTCTAACCTTGAACTTAGCTGAAATACTGAGTTTGTTAACTTTGTATTAAGTTAAAGAGCTATACACTACAAAAAATGCTGCCCTCAAGGGGACAGAGAGTGGCATGTTAACTGAATTTGACTCTTGTTTCTGATAAATTGGCAAAATTTGCTTAAATATATTTAATTTCTCCTTGATTTATTTCTGTTTGCAGGGAGGACTTCGCATGTGCTTAGGAAGGGAATTCGCCTACCGTCAAATGAAAATAACAGCAGCCATTCTCTTGAGGTTCTTCAGATTCAGATTTAAGGATGAGAATAAGAAGATCAAGTACAGAACCATGTTCACTCTCCATATAGATGGTGGTCTTCAACTTCTGGCCTTTCCAAGATAAAAAATCAGCAACAACCATTGCGCTATTCAATGGACAAGTCTTATTCCCTTTGCAAATAACTACAATGGCTCTAGCCAAATGAACAGTATGGCTTTAGCCAAATAAGCAATGCACTCCATGTTTACCGTCTATCCATGGTTTACCACAAATTGATAACATATGGTGTGCCATCGCATACTCCCAATTGACAATCACCAGCAATCAGCCTGATACAGTTTTTTATCCATGATCAAGTGAACAAGAACAATGTACAAGCAAATCTGGTCCCACTCATTTTCAATATAGACACACTCAGAGAAACTTTCTTAGTACTTCGCGACATAAAAGTCTTCTTTCGTGCATACTCACTTGAATGGCATGGCTAAGAAACATACAAGTTTACTGGTATCCTCTTTGGGATCTTCCTTCTTGTCACACTTAAAGAGGTATGCCCTGTTTTTTAGCATTTCCTTACTTTGGGACATTTAAACAAAAACTTATTCTTCTAAAATTGTTCCTTCTACTCATTTTGAATGGTTTCGGATTGTCCAATTTTAATGGTCACCTGGTTGACTATGGCCTACCAAATAGCCATAAGGCTTCAGGAAGATTTCAAAGGAACTAAAACATAGAAGTGCTTATGTTTTCTGGGTTCAAAGGTCTTAATTACTCAAAATTCTCTCGCCTAGTTCTCTTTGGGATAGAACCCCAAGGTCCTCACAATTCATGATTCTCTCCCACAGTTCTCTCTAGGATAAATAGCCCTCACCCTTAAGCCTTCTCTCTCACCCTAAAAGAAGGGCAAAATGGAGGTTTCAATGGAAGTGAAAGCCAGACGGGAAAGCATATTCTTGGTTTAGAAGTCCTCATTATTGATTCTCACCCATGGTTCATGAAAAACCCTTCTCTCTCACCTCAAAAGATGATAGAATTGTTCTAGATTATCTAGAATGGTAGCACCGATCAAGAGAGTCCAGTATCCTCTATGTCCAATAACACCTCAGCTATGTTTGGAACATAGCCCCCAATTTCATTTTACATAGCCCCCAATTTCATTTTACCACTCAATTCTAAAAGGACCGGTTCTATCTCTTTCATTAGAGACTCAGGCATCGCATTCACAGAGAACTCGTAAAGATCGCCATCAACCTCAATTGAGCTACAACCTGGAATCTTCTTTATCCCATTCTCTCTCATCATTCCCCTAATTCTCTTAACATCATCAAATCTGTTAGCTTTTGCATATATATTAGATAAGAGCACATAAAATGCATGGCTTTGAGGTTCCAAAGCCAAAAGCCTTTCTGCTATACTTTCTCCTAGTTTCACCCTTCCATGCATCTTGCATCCAGCGAGCAAAGCTCCCCAAATAAACACATCTGGCTCAATGGGCATGCCCGTTACTAGTTGTTCAGCCTCATCAATGAGCCCTACTCTAGAAAGAAGATCGACCATGCAAGCATAGTGCTGTGCCTGAGGCTCGAGCCCATAGACCTCTCTCATCACACGAAAACACTCTCTCCCCTCCTCTACGAGCCCCCCATGTGTGCATGCACATAAAACTGCAACAAAGGTAGCCTCATTAGGCCTGGTCCCTGAGTGAAACATCTCTCTAAACAGTTCAAGAGCTTCTTTAGCTCGCCCGTGCATCGAAAGACCCGATATCATAACTGTCCAGGCATAAACATCTCTCATGGGCATCTCATCAAATACACGAAAAGCTCTCTCGATGCTCCCACACTTTGCATACATGTCCACTAGTGAGGTTCGAATCACCATGTCGAGTTCTATCTGGTTTCTCTTCACGTACCCATGAACCCATATTCCAAAATCCAAAGCACCCAAAGAAGAACACGCCGATATAACACTAGCCATCGTTATTTTATCAGAATTAACCACCCCCATCTTTTGCATTTTATGAAAGAGACCCAATGCTTCCTTAGCTCTCCCAGCCTGAACAAACCCAGTAATCATTGTGTTCCAAGAAATCACATTCCTCTCTGTCATCTCTCCAAACAAAGACCTTGCAGAATCGAGCTCACCCCACCTAACATACCCAGTGATCAAAGCATTCCAAGAAACCACATCTCTTTGAGTCATTTCATCAAACACTTTTCCGGCGCAATCCAATCGCCTAAAACTAGCATACATATTTATCAGAGCATTATGAATATAGAGAGAAGTGCTTAATCCTAGCTTCACTTTATGTGAATGAACACAAGTGCCATAGGCTAGGTCACGTAACCTTGAACAAGCCATTAACGCAAACGGAATCGCACGCTGGTCAGGCATGGGTCCACAAGAGTGCATATATTTGTACAGGGTTAGGGCTCTCCAAGGGGTAGAGCCCACTGCATGGGCACGTATCATGGTGCTCCATGTGCATGTGTTAGGGTTTGGGATTCTGCGGAAAATGAGATCGGCATAGCAGAGGCAACCGTACTCGGCCAGGGCGTAAACAAAGAGGAGGCGAGTGAGGAGAAGGGTGTGGTCTGAGAAATTGGAGGTGAGGATTTGGGTGTGGATTTGGTTGAGATGCTTCTTACTCTTGCATTTGTGCAGGAGATTGGAGAGTTCTTGGGGCCTCATGCTTGGTTGTACTAGCATTAAGATGGTGGAGGTCCTAATCCCTGTACATACACGTCATGGGAGGTATCAGTTAGAGATGGGAAATCCTTCTCTCTCTCAAGGATGTTACTTCGAGCTGGGAATCTCTATCTCTCAGCAATGAGAGAGGTACCCTCAGATTTAAAATCATGGAACTCTTTTGCCCTCTCTCACATGGATTTGAATCCCAACGGTCTTATAAACGATTTTTTTAAAAAAAATTGCTGAATCCCCAAGGTTAAGGTTGGATATTTCTCTTAGGCATGTTTGTTTTCACAAAAGTATTCCTTCATAAAGTATTCTTTCGTATTTTTTAAAAGTTCTCATCTGTTTGACACTTTCCATAAGTTCAAAAACTAATCTTTCAACAAAAAGTTCCCCTTTTTTCGTTAAAAGGTCGAAAAGTTCTCGTTTATTTGTTAAAATAGTAATATTATACATCACTTATAATATATAATCAATATATACTGTATAATATAAATTATATTAATAAAATAAATATAAATATATGATAAATAATATAATATAATATATAATATTTACATTATATTATATAATATATAAATATATGTATTTATTACATTAAATATATATTATATACAATATTTATGTTATTATATTATATATGTAAATATCTTATATTATATTATATGTTATACATTATTTATATTTATATTATATACAATATTAATAAATAATATATATAATATAATAAATAATAATATGTATCATATACAGAATATATAAATATATAATCAATAATATAATATAATATAATATATATAAGATTTATATTATATTATTTATAATATATAAATGTAATATATATTTATTATATTAAGTATATATTATATAAAATATTTATATTATTATATTATATGTAAATATCTTATATTATCATTTTATAATAAATATTATATCATATTTTATACCTGGGAAAAGTTTATATAGAGTCGAGGCTCTAAACAATCAAATTTGAGCCTAGTTAAAAAATCTCACTAGAAGAGGCTGTTTCGATGCCCAAATATCTCAAATTGATCATCTCAACATCAAGATGCATTAATATGAGAAAAAAAAGTAGATTTCAAGTTTTGGAAATAGTGTATTTTGTAAAGCATTTTTTTACTGTCCGTTTTCAATATTTTCAATTTTTCATAGATCTATCGCTCTACACTATTTTTGAAGTTTTAAATTTTATAAATAAATCCGAAAATATATTTTAAGGCTATCACAAAGTTTTCCAATATTGAATCCACATTTCGCGATACTATTTGAAGGTAGGCTCTAATTTGATTGTTTAGAGCTTAGGTTTTATATAAACTTCACCCTTTATATATTATATGTTGTATATTATATCTTTTATATTTATTATATTACATAATAAATATATTATTATATTATATATAATATTATATATAGTATAACAAATAATAATATAAATTCTATATAAATATCTTATATTATGTTGTAATAAATATTATATTATATATTATAGATACATTAATAAAATATAAAAATACATTATATTATGTTTTATATATTATCAAACACAGTACCCATAACTTTCTTAACATTCCAACACGTTATAAAACACAGTAATTATAATTTATTTAAACTTTTCAAAACAAAACATTCAACTTTCTAAAATATTTAAAAACATTCAACTTTCCAGAAGATATCTTTCAGCAAAACAAGCACGCCCTTAGAGAGAGAGTTATATAGAGAAACCAATAATCCCATTCATATATTTAGAGAGAGAGATCTTTAGAGAAAAACACTAACCCTTGTGTTTTTAAAGAGAGATAATATAAATGGGATGGTAGAGAGTATAAACGTCAAAGAGAGATGAATATTTATTTTAACCTTTGTAAGAGTTATAAATGAGGGCATTTTTATCATAAATAAAGCCGAAAAAGTAAATTGGAGTCGGGAAGAAAATAGAAGTATTTTAGAGTAGGTTTGGTTCGTATGAAAATGATTTCTTAAAAATTATTTTTTTAGAAAATAACTAATTTCTCACGTTTGGTTCGTCACAAGAGTAAGAATTCTTTTAACCTATGAAATTAATTTCCATAAAAAGTATCCAAAATCTAAGAAATTGGAATCATACCTGTGTAGGTATGAATCCAATTTCTTTCAAAATAATCAAAGGCAAGCGGTAAGTAGAGCTGCCATCGTGCCAGGCTGACCCAAGGCTCGGCAAAGCCTGAAATACTTTGGCCCGCCCCAGTAAGGCCTGGCCCGAAAAACCCCACCCCACCTTTGAATATGTACTATCAAAACCCCCCCGCCCCCACACACTCATTTTTTTTTTTTCACTCTTCAAACTTTTTTTCTTTGTAGTAAGCCCAAAATAGTTTTTAGAAAATTTAAAAAAAAACTATTGGGTTTTTAAAGAGAGAAAGAGAGATTTTTTAGAGAGAGAAATAGAGATTGAGATTTTAGATAGATAAATATATATTGGTTTCTAGAGAGATAATAAGTTTTTAGAGAGAGATGAGATATTGACTTTTTAGAGAGAAAGAGATTGATTTCTAGAGAGAAGAGAGATTACGTTTTTAGAGAGATAAACAAATTGATTTTTATATAGAGAAAATGAACTTAGATGTTTAGAGAAAGAAAGAGAGCTTGGATTTCTATAGAGTAAAAGAGCGATTGGGTTTCTAGATAAAGAGATTGGGTTTTTATAGAGAGCGAATGGGTTTTAAAGAGAACAAGAGAGATTGAGTTTTTAGAGAGAGATTGGTTTCTAGAGAGATAATGGATTGTTAGAGAGAGAAATAAATATTGGGTTTCTAAAGAGAGAGAATAGGTTTTTTGAGAGAAAGATAGATTGGATTTTTAGAGAGGGAGTGAATTTTTATATAGAGAAAGAGATAATGGGATTTAAAATAGAGAAAGAGAGATTGTGTTTCTCGAGAGGGTAAGATTTTAGAGAGAGAAAGAGATATTGGATTTCTAGAGTGAGATAATGGGTTTTTCAAAAGAGAGATTGATTTTTTAGAGACAAAAGGAGAATGGGTTTTTTAAAAAAGAAAGAGATATTGGGCTTCTAAAGAGAGAAAATATGTTTTAGAGATAGAAAGAGAGATTCGGTTTTGAGAAATATGGGTTTCTAGATAGAGAATTGGTTTTTAGAGAGAGATTGGGTTTTTAGAGAGAATACGTTTTATAGAGAAAAATAGAGATTGGATTTCTAGAGCGAGAGATTGAGTTTTAGAGAGACAAAGAGAGATTGAGTTTCTAGATAGAGTGGGTTTTAGAGAGAGAGAGATTGAGTTTCTAGATAGAGTGTATTTCTAGTGAGAGAGATTGGTTATTTAGAGAGAAAATAGTTTTTCAGAGAGGGAAAGAGAAATGTATTTTTAAAGAGAGAATGAATTTTTAGAGAGAGAAAGATATAATGGGTTTTTAGATAGAGAAAGAGAGACTGGATTTCTAAATAGATAATCAGTTTTTAGAGAGAGAAAGATAGGGAATGAGTTTTTATAGAGAGAAATAGATAATGAAATTTTAGAGAGAGAAATAGAGGTTGGATTTTTAGATAGATAATAGGTCGATTGGGTTTTTAGAGAGAGATAATGGTTTTTTAAAAGGAAAGATCGATTTTGTTTTTAGAGAGAGAAAGAAGAATGGGTTTTAAAAAAAAGAAAGAGAGATTATGTTTATAAAGAGAGAGATTGGGCTTTTAGAGAGAGAGATAATGGATTTTTAAAAATGGCAAGAAAGATTGGGTTTCTAGATAGGGAGAATAGGTTTTAAGATCTATTAAAAGAGATTGGGTTTCTAGAGAGAGATCATTTTGTTTTGCATCAATATGTGAAATTTGAGATGTTTTTTTCCTAAATGAGCTATTGTTAACCATTAAATTTACATCACACAAAAAGAGAAACATATAATTATCATGGATGAAGTATATAATGATATATAGACTACAATAAAGCATATAACTCGTAAAATACGTCCTAATACCAAAATAAAAGACAATGTTATTCTTCATCTTGGTCACACTTGTGCCATTGATCAAATTCGCGTGACAATTCATTGACTCAATCTAGGAACAAATCATTTAAATTAGTGGGCACCTGAAATTAATTCATAGTTTTAATCAACAAATTGTTTTAAAATTAATTAGTCAATGAACCCTAAAATTTTACAATTTGTATTTGCATTAAATAATTGACAATAAAGTTGAACAATACAAGTTATTTTCACATGATAATTGTAAATTGACAATCAATTGAATATAATTCACAATGTTATGATATTAAAAATATTATGTAATGAAATTGAAATTATGTAATGAAATTTAAATTATGTAATGAAATTTAAATTGTTGTTTATATTTTATAATTATTTTACTATACAAATAATAACAAATCTAAAATATTTTATAATATCATCAAATTTAAAAAATCTTATTTACAACTATGAGAAAAATAATACAATATATAATTTATAATGTAAATAAATAAATAAAATACAATATTTGATAATCAATTTATAACTATTAATCAATATAGTAAAAATGATTAAAAAATTATTAGAAAAGGCTTTTATATCATATGCTTTAAAATAAAAAAAAAACCACCAATAAATTCTAATGTTATTATATTAAAATTTCAAAAAAAACTTTAACAAAAAAAAAATAAAAATAAAGGTGTTAAAATTTTTTTAAAAAAATTTCCTATCGGCAATATACACAATAGCTATAAAAAAAATAAAAATAAAATATTGTAATAAAACCCATCGAAAAAACCATTTTACTTGTAAATAGCAAAACAAATTTTATGGCCGGTTTTTAATTTGACACACTAAATTAATGAGTGCTATTAATTTGTTTTTAAAGTTTATATGGCCGTTTATTAGTACTATTAATTTGACACGCTAAACTAAAAAACTATGGACTCTAAGCGTATGGATATTGGCTTGCAAAAATTAATGGCTTGGAAAAATTTTATATGGCCGTTTATTAGATGATGGCTTGTATGTCATGCTGAAGGCAACATTGGGAATTGTTCCACATCGAAAATATCAAGGGGCTAGACTATAAAAGACGTGAGGACGAGTGCTTTACCACTGCGCGAGTGAACGGGACATGGGGCATGTGATTGTGGGACTGATGTTAGCACATTGCGCAAATTACCTTTATTTTGAAATTGAATATCGCACTTACACTTGGAAATGTCATATACGCTGAGTAATGATGTCACCGCCCCCCCGATTCTATACAGTGATTCAAGCGATTCACTGTAGAAAATCGC